AAGGAAGTGGAGAGAACAAGAATGAGGGAGGAGACAGTGGTGGGAGGTTTGATCTTATATCGAAGCCCGTTTTAACTGTGGGTGTAAATTACAGTCGGCGATCAATCAAAGGCTTGGGGGGGTTTCGTACCAAAAAAGAAAAAGGAACGAGCAAAACATTTACAGAAGAAAATCATTGGGTTTTGTGCATTTGGAAATATATTGTGTTTGGTTTATCATTTTTACATGCCTCTTTATCTGTGAACGCGACCTGTATTTGGCTTTTTGCATGCGAGAACTCCAGGACAGGGTAAAAAAATAGTAGAAAAATAACAGGTTTGATAGTGACAGTGACGGACTTGGCGAAATTTTCAATACTGGAATGATTTTTTCAGAGGATCTTATAATGCTGTCAAAAAAAGAATCGTGTTTTTTATTTGCGTTTAATAAGATTTAAATAATTTAGATCCTTCAAAAATTTGAATTTTGAACCTTTTTATTGTAGATTTTGTTAGAGCTTGAACATTGAATGTAATTCTTTATTCTTCTAGTTTTGGAGATTAGACGGTAACTTTTGTAGATTTCTTTCGGAAGTGAACTGCCAAGAATCCGGAAAAGCTTTATTTTATTCTTATATATATATATATATATATATTGTCTCCGTGAGGGTCTGATCAGTTGTCACATGCGTCATGCCACTGCAGAACCTTTGTTTACATTTAAAAGAAACTTCGTTCAAATTTCAAAGTGACATTTATATTCTGTCTGAGATTTTGATGAAATAATAGTAGGAAAGCAGGCTCCTTAAAATGGGTGAGGTAAATATTTTGAAAAAAAAAACTAATAATTGCAAATGTTACGAGAAACTCTCATCATGGAGGCAAGTATATGAAACCAAATATTTAATTTTTTATGGGATCCAAAATTTAAAATATACGGCGTGGTTCATGGTCCGGTCAAGTTGAATTGCTCTTGCACAGCGTGGGCGTATTTAAATTCTTGAGTTGCTATATAGGAGTAGCACATATAAAGACCCCACCATAATATGAACTTGAACATATGCGATTTTGAGAATTTCTTCTATTTATTTGTTAATTATTTTTTTATTTAAAAATATAATATATTTTTTTAGGAGTTGTATATTTAAAAATATAAAATATTTTTAGTCTTTTGAGATAGAAGAATTATTTTTTTTAAATGTGAATGACTTTATATTTATTGTAAGGTGTTTAATAAAAGTAAATATGAAAAGATGGATTAATAAAAAATAAATAATTATTTCATTAAAAATAAGATTTGATAAAAAATATTTTATATTTTTAAATTAACTAAGTGTTAGATATTGATCAGAAAGATACAGTATAATCACAGTCACAACCTTAATATTTTGATTTAATAATTAGTGAAAGGGAAAGGAGTGGAGAAAGGTGAAGGACTGGGCCCCATAGCTGAAGTGGGAATGTAGGCTGTGCTACTGCATACATAAATGATAATGACACATGGACAGCCACTAAGGTGATCAAATAAATCATTCGGGACACAACATGAGGAACCCTATGCACTACACTGCACTACACAAATAAACAAATAATGTTGTTCACTTCCTATTTATATACTCTCTGAATGTTCATATTATTCACTTCAAAATAATCTATATTTTTCAAATACAGCCTAAGAGAATTTCCCTACAGGCATGCCCATGCATAAATCTTAAAATACACATGATATCTTTATAATATTAAAATAATTAAGAACTTGGAGGTTATGACCTTGCAATCTCCTGCTTCTTGGTGGCTTACGTGTTACTTTCTCTAATTCTTATTATAAAATGATAGTCATATCCTTAAAATTATTAAAACCATAATAGATAAATAAGGAGTAAAATTGAAAAAATTAATCACTCTAATTTTATCTTATAAATAAGTATGAAAAGCCTTTGAAATTTTACCTTGCACTAAGAATCCATTCAATATTGGTATCCTTTCATTCAAAAATATAAAATATTTTTAATTGAATCTCACACCCAATAAAATAATTATTTACTTTTAAATTAATCATATCTTTTTATATTTATTTTTATCAAACATCTTATAATAAATATAAATCATTATAATATGGAGCACTTTAAAAAATAATAATTACATTGTAAAAAATTAAAAATATTTTATATTTTTAAATATTTAACTTTTTAAAAAAAATTTTATAATTTTAAACGGTAAAAGTATAATTTAATAAAGAACAGTGAGGGAGGGAAAGGGCAGCGGATCACTTTTTGCCTGTGATTCTGCCTATGATAACCTATAATTGCATTCATTAATTACAGTCATGACATAATATCATTGTCACCGTCACGCATCTCAAAAACATTCCCCTCTCCCCCTCCCCCCTTTCCAAAATGTCACATCCATCGTCTTTTCCCACTCGGCCTCCTTATTCCTGGCCCACTGGGCTCACCCCATCATTCCCCGCCAGGCCCAACTTCGTTGTCTATCATCTTATCTCTTTCTTTATTCTTCTCCAACCATTCGGAAATTGATGCCCCAAAGACTAGGGAACTGCTCACCCAATCCTTCAACTTCCCTTTTTAAAATATACAAATTGAATTTTGCATTTGCAATACTCTTATTATTATTATTATTCAATTCTACATGTCTTTTGTTGTTATTTTTTATCCTGGGGCATCGAAAACATTTTATATCAAAAAAATTGTTTTTTTTTTCAGTCAATTTCATTTTTATGTACTAAACCGCCCTGCTCTCTAAAGCTCAGGAGTCCTGATATTATAGTTTTTCCAAAGCTCAAAGAAAATACAGGAAAGTGAAAGAGACCACGTAGTGGATTTGGCGATGATGTAGCCCCTTTCGGGAACAAGTGACTGTTTTGGTAGACTAATATTGTACTTGTGCGTGTTTTGCTTGTAGCATATATAATGCATCGTTTGACATGCTTCGACCAATCAGGATCCTTTTTTCTTTAAAGGAAAAAATTGCATTTTAACGATCAGTTATTGGCTGAGGATATAGAGTCAAGACTCAAGATTATGGACCTAATTTTATAGTCCGAGCTCTTATTTCATAGCCTAATTGTACTTAAATGAACAGACTTTGTGTGCATTGAATATTAATTAGTTGCTGTAAGGTGTGCATTCCCTCATAATGCATCATGATTGTTTTACAAGAACATTTATAAGGTTATACTAATTCTTCATCATATGGGCAGCGAAGACTAAATTGACAAATTGATTGTCGTACGCTCTTTCTGCCCCATCTGCTCCATTCATGTCTACTATACAGTTATACCACTTTCTATGGTTTTCTCGGCTGATGTTCTCCCCCGGGAAAAAAAAACGTGTCTTCTTTTTTCCCTGAAAAGGGTGTCCTACAACAATATAAAAAATGCAACTTTCCTTCCTCTTCCAACTTATTCTGTGGGTTTAGATATGGAAGCATGATAATCAGATCGTGTTGCTAATATGATCATATATATGAAGCTTTTTAACTGTAAAACCTTTCTTTCAAGAGCATATGGGGATGGCATAGGGTCGTCGGCCCATCTCTTATATAACAAAACATTTCATAAACCAAGTCGTCAGTGTTTGCTTTTGTGGGGACCTTGATGGAGTCATCATGATTTTAATGATTTGACCAAACCAACTGTACTGGGTATGACACTTCAGATTTTCAAGGCAAGAAAAAACTGTTTCAAGCACCAAGGGCAAATGATGATGGAAAGCACAAGTAACAAAGTCATTTGGATTGTTCACAAGAAACTTGTTTCAACTTTCATGAGTGCTTATGAATTTCACAATGGAGACCGTGTCTCGCTGTTTGGAAGAAACTTCAGACACAATCTTGTTTTCGCAATAAAAACTGCACTAAGTACAAACCTTGCTTCTTTTGGAATCTATTAAGACGAACTTAAAATATAGTTTTTTGTTGGGTCATGAAACTCAACACTTTACTTTTGAATGAAAAAGTGCCAAAGCCTTTTTTTTTTTTTTGAATGAAAAAGTGTCATCCCGCTTTGAGAGAGAGAAACTCAGATGCTGTGTACGTGTAGAAAAAACAGTAGAGTATAATTGGGTTTTGGAGGCCCATGAGAAACAATTGGATAGCATACAGAACTGCATAGGGTTTCTTTCTTTTTCTTTTCTTTTCTTTTTTTGTTTTGGAATGGAAATGGCAAGCCTAAGGCTCGAGAACTGCATAGGGTTTCTAAAAAGGGGCACAGTTGAATAGATTTGGGGGACTTACGATAGTGCAGAGCCTCTCTCTCAATCCTGATATACTTCCATTTGATGGAGAGGAATTTAAAACTAGAAGCTGCTCGCATTGTCTGTGTTATCATTTTCAAATAGCTATGCCATCCTCCGACCCTATGAGAGGAAAAAGGACCCCCTGGGGGGGCGGGGGGATTGCAAGTGAAATCAAACCTGTAACCTTTCCCTTAAGGACGGTTCTCCCTTCTCGAGAAGTCTTCAAGTGGGCATCATTTAGTTGAATTTTAGAGTAGCATAAGGTGAAATGCAAATAGTAAGGACTTTTTTCCCCTTAAATCTTAAAATAACTTGTTAGGGGTTTGATTTCCACTTAGTTTACAAGTGTGCGCCTTCCACCCCACCACCCAAAAGATGTACATCTCAATAGAATATTAATTATAGACTATACTTGGCACATTATAAACTTTTTTAAAGATAATAAAAATAGAGATAAAAATAGAATATATAATTTTTTCAAAATAACAAATCATCTCTATTTTTTATATTCTTCCCTGTTTTTCTTGGCTTCCTTCATTTTCTTATACTGTCAATTTATAAAATTTATGAGTTTGTTTCTTTTTCTCCCTAAATAATTATAAATTTTTCCTTTAACCTACAAAGCTATCAACTCCCCCTATTAACATATTTCAAAAGTGTTATCTCCTCTTTAAACAATAATGACCAAATTAATAATTAAAGCAAACTTACAAAACTAAATTAATAAAAATTAAACTTAAGGAATCAAATTAATAAAAGAAAAATCTAATGGACTAAAAGTATCATTATTAAAGAACAAACAAGCTTTACAATGATTTCTATCCCTACTTTAATAAGAAATATTAATTACATAAAAAGGTGGCAAAAATATAATTACATAAAAATACAGACTACTTAAAGCTACAACATTGAACTCTTTGGTCATGGAATGATGGTATCATGGAAAAATGATAATGCATCAAAACATGCAAAAGTGAAACATGTTTAGTGTTTGCCCCCTTTTGTTTTCGTTCCTTTACAAGATGATGTTAGCTGTGAGAAGGGCCATTGATATGATGGGATCCTCCAAGCAATATTGCCAGCAGAATACAACATATATATAATTTCACAGTCCACGTCAAAGTACAGGAGGGGCACACCTCATTCCTTACAATAAAACAATGGGCAGTGGAATGCAGGATGCCTCTAATTTGGTTTGTCAGCGTCCGTGGCCTATTTCAAAGGCTTGGCCAGCCCACTAGCTCATTGTGCAGTTCTCTATCTCTAACATTTGATGCAATTCATGCAAAAATATCCTGATCTTTTTGAAATAATTCACTGATCTTCGACTCTTTCCTGCACATTTTGATGAATCGCCAAAGGTTATGGTCTACATAGAATAGCAAGAATTTCTAGGTGATAGGAATCAGAATAAACGGCAAGTCATATGTTGAAGTGATAGAGAACCTTGGATCCGCTCAGGGGGGAAACCCAATTAATAGTGCATTTACGATTACTACCTTAACATATATTAGTATTTGCCAGGAAACATGAAAAAAAAAAATCTTCCTCCAGCAAGACAGAATATCTCTATTATTCACAACATTGACAACGATTTACGTGTACTCAGTTATTTTCTAAAATATTTTCAGGCAATAATATATTTTCTAATAGCCTGTGCGCTCAGTTATTTTCACGATTATTATATGCATGACTGTATTGGGGGACGAAAAAGACAGATACCATCCTGAACTACGGGGAACTCAGCGACTTCATTTTATGTCTAAATCCTTTTTGATCTCTTCCTGGGGGTTCATCTACTTTAAGAGCCAATCTTCACTGTTAAGTTTTCTGTTGGCCAATGACTTCATTCTAAAGCTATTCATAAAAGGGGAGGAGAAATACAATCACCGCAGCAATTTACATGAATTTATTAACTCCTATACAACAAGGATGCATCAAAAACATTGGCATACAAATGGTTGTACAGGTTGTCGCTATGAATTTTGCAAGCTCAGAGAGCTGATAAAGAAATCACTTTAATCCTTGGGGGGGGGGGGAAGCTATGATCCCAACAAATAATTCCAGAACACAGCGGAAACACCTGCATAAAAGAAAGCTACAAATGGACTCATTTTTTAACAGAATTACCTCAAAAGTAGCTACATCAAGCAGCTGCTTTGTCTGACTACTCAAGCTGCAAGGACTTTTCATGATGTTTCCTGAGTTGCAGAAAGCACAATTTATCGCCAGACAAGTAAGAATTAAGTGAAATCTTGAACAAGGGTAGAATTCGCAATGTGGATTATAAGCGGTAGATGGAGGAAAATAAAAGGTCACAAGCAGATAAACATACAATGGCAAACATACAGAAGAATAGATGTGACAAGAAATGAAGAATGCCGAACTATTCAGCCAGGTGAAAAATAGGTATATGCCATTCTTCGGATAGCAGATGAGAGTCAGCCACTCAAAATGCAGAGTCAATAAAAATTAAGAAGTTAAAAATAATGCTTTCATGCAACAACACCCCCCTCAAAGAACAAAAAAGCAAAACAAAACAACAAAAGATTTACCGTGCAGGGCAACAATATTGTCATAGCATCACAATCATCCCCTCTAAAATCTTAATCACCCACTCTTGAGTATCCTCATCCAATAAAAAAATAACAGAAAAGAAAGGAAAAAGTACACTACAAAACAATTCCAACGGAAAAAACAACTCATCATTAGACCAGAATTTTATGGAATGCTTTCATCCATTTAGCCACCCACTACACTAGTACAAAATCCACAAGCCACAATTATATTCAACAACCAGAATTTATAAGACCCGCTAATGAACCAAAGGGAATATAGAAGTGCATGCCGCTATCAATGACCAGAGACCTTATGTGAGAATGTCACATGCAACGCTGCTAGAAATGAGATATTCACATACTAATGCAAAAATTTTATTTGAAGAAAAAGGAGAAGTTTATTATCAAGAATATAACCATAAAAAAATAAATTTGATCCAGGTCTAACATAGAGGAACTTACTTGTTAAATAATTTAATGGGCGACCGTGGCCTTGTGTAACCATAACCCTTTTTTTCGGTTTTTAGTTTCACTGCATTGTTTGATGCTGGCTGACCTTCCATTTTGGCAGTGTTTCCTTTTGCTGCATTACCCCTTGATTGTGGCTTCCAATTAGCTCTGGCAAGAGATTGACCAAGTAACTTAGCAATGTCATTGGCCATTGCCTCAGCCTTCTTCACATACGGAAAATTATCCTCGTTAAACTGGTTTGACAACCACAAATAGGCAGATAGCACCTGATGCCTAGTCTCCAGGTCAATAAGTTCTGCATCATTCTGAGCACAACCTTTTGGCATACCCATAGCTACATTGACTGGGGCATTCTGACTGTAAGTTGTAGCAAACCTTAGTAGGTGGTACATTGATTTTGGATCTCTAACATTAACAGGAGCAAAACTGAAGTTAAACCGATCTTTCAAAGATAATCCTGGAACCTTATCCAACATATTAGCAATTTTCTTTATGTGATCATATCGACACATAAAGTATGAATGATCCAAACGACAACTTTCACCAAATTTTTCAAGCAGCTGGCAAAATGTTAGATTGGGAAGTTTTCCAGCAAACAATTCAATCTGTTCACAACAAGGAAAAAGACCCACCTTCTTAACATCATCAAAAGGTTGTTTCAAACAATCAATCAAGTAATCCAAATCATCTAAATGCAAGGTGGTGGCGAGTCCATCTGGATAAATACATCCTCTTCTACCAGCTCTTCCGGCAATTTGCTTAACTTGTGATGCTGGAACAGGAACAATTTTGTCACCATTATACTTTGAAAGGCTATTAAAAACTACCCTTCTAATATTGAGGTTAAGGCCCATCCCCACTGCATCACTAGCAACTAGAACATCATACTCATTACTCTGATCATTAAACAAGCTAGCTTGCTGTCTCCGAGTTTCTGGTGGCAAGCTTCCATATATGACACAACAACGATGTTTGGTGTGTTTCTCAATGGCCAGTTTAACCTCAAATATCTCTCTCCTTGAGAACGCAACTACACAATCACCAGACCGAATATTTCGAAGATCTCCTAGAAGGGTCTTTGCCTCAACCACTAATGGTTTAAACCTCTCATATTGTTGCTCACGCAATTCATCCCCAGTTTCTTGGCATATCTTTCGAACAATATTCAATACACTAGGATCTCCACATAGGTGTATCTCATCAGCCTTCAATCCAAGCAGTGCTCTTGTCCATGCATGGCCTCTATATGGATCTGCCATCATCTGAATTTCATCAATAACAGCCACGTCATACAATTCATTTGTTGAAACCATTTCCACAGTACATGCAACATGACTGGAAAATGGGACATACTTCTTTTCTTGCCCAGTAAGGAGACTGCAGTAAACCCCCAGTGCATTGACCTTGTCAAAAACTTCCATAGCCAATAATCTGAGTGGACTACAATAAATTCCCTTGTTTGCTCCCATAAATCGTTGTAAAGCATTATATGTCTTACCACTATTCGTCGGCCCACAATGATAAATTATCTTTCGTTTCATAGCCCGTGCAAAGGGAAACCAAGTGTCCGGTTTTCTGAGGTCTGCCGACTCATACATTGTCCGGAACTTCTTGATTTCATCAGGAAACTTTTCTAAGCAATATTCAACAAATATAGGGAACAAAAACTTCACAGCAGCATCAGACGGACCAAGTGACACTATGAAATTAGCAAGATCAGCCGGACATGCCATGATAAAAAAATCCCGGAACTTGTGCACGGCAGTGGGGTAAAATGACAAACCAATGTAAATAGCAAGAGCCTGATTGGATGCCCACCCAGAACTGGCAAAGTAACGAAACACTTCCTGCATAGTTTCCCAATCTTCTTTATCCATGTTTGGACCCCCTTTAGCATTACAAAGCTGATGGTACAAGTTTACTGGATCACAAGATGCCATTTGCACATATTTTTCACTTTTTGTTAATCCATCAGCATCAAGGTTATTTCCATCATTTTCCAATTCAAGAACTGACGAACTACATGCATCATTTGCATTATCCTTGGCTTCATCCATAGCAGAAACACCTGCATTATCATCATTTTCAAGTTCAAAATCGACAGGCTTCCCAGAATCTGCATCGTATTCAAAATCTGATTCGGCAAGGGTACTATCCTTCATGTCATCATTGTCGCTGTCATCCAATGATGAAAATGACCTAGGGAATAGAATTTTTCCACTATAAACCTTTGAACTTGACCTAAAATATATCAGAGTTAGTGGGTTTACCAACCGGGTCGAAAAAGGATGAACCAGCACATTATAAGTTGAGGTAAGGGGACCCTCAGGTTGCCCTACATAACTGTGATAATGATTCAAAAGAAGAGCTGGAAGCCTTGAAACACTTCTTTTACGATTACAAATTTGAAGCAGAGAAAAGGCAGGGCCTTTAGCCATTGGAGTTGTGTTGTAGAATCTTCTGCTTATATTGTAAAGTGCGTCGAATTTACTGGAGAACTACAGTTGATTAAACAGTGTCTCAATGATTACAAATATCTGGCGTTAAAATCAAAGGAAAGACCTGAAATAAAAACATAATCAGAACTAAAATAAAATTAACCGACAATTCCAGAAATAAAATGAAATCAAGACCAAATGCAGAAACCAAAGGAAAGCAAAAGCCAGAAACAAAAATTCCAAAAATAAAATGAACTAAAGTGAAAAGGGGAAAAACTTATAAAAGAGGAAAAAAAAATCACAAACACAAGGAAAGAGGTTAGATTAAAACAAGCATAGCAAAGCAACCAAAATAAAAATTGAATCAGAAGCAAAGAGCAGACAATGGTTCCACAAAAAAGAACCAACATGTGTTTCCAAAATAAAAATGAAAAGCGTACAGCATATCCCAACAAAAATCTGAAACCAATAATCCTACAAAATATCCTTATACATATAGAAAGAATCAATAATCAATAAATAAATAAGGAAAACAAAAAAAGAAGGCAGAACAATTCTGACTTGTTCCATTACTTGCAAGATATGACAACCAAGATAGAGAAGATTTGAGGCAATTTGAGACTTGAGAGACGTTGAGAGGTTGATGGAGTGGACAAAACAAAGGCAGCAGATGCATCTAGTTTTAGTGCTCAGCAGGGTGTTGAGTAGGGATAGAGTTGGAAAACGGGCAGGCCCGACCCTTATAGGCTCGACCTTTAAGGGCTCAGGCCCTTAAGCCCGGTTTTCCAAAATTTTCCCAAATCCTAAGGCCCACCCTATGTATAGGGCTCAAGACCGGGTCCGTAAGCCCAATTAAATAAAAATTAAAAAAATATAATTATAATTTGATTAGAATATTTTAAAATTAAACATAAAATAAATCAAGGTAATACTCTAATTGGCAAAAAAAAAAACAATAGTTTGGTTAAACTTGGTAAGAATCAAAGCACCTATCTAAAACAATCAATGATCAAAGTATTAGCCACCAAGCACTCATGACAAGGAAATAGCTGAGTGGAAAGCAGATCGTGAGAGGCATGAGGGAGAATAGATGCAATAGACATAAGGGACGATAGGCCAAACAGATGCGAGAGGAAGAGCCAAGTGACTCTGAATAAGGCAAAGATCAGAGATGAGGCAAGGATGATCGACGGCTAACAGGAGTGCAGAGATGCCGATTGAGGGAGAGATAAGTGACAGCTGACAAAAGAGCAGATGAGTGACTGTGAAATCTTCAATATTCAGGTTGAGAGAGTGAGAGTTTCAATCAAACAAAAAAGGATGAAAGATTAAGAGTCGATCAAAAATTAGAGAAGTTAAGCCTTAGGCTTTTTCTCTACGCACAAGTTTTACATAAATTGCAATAAAATAAAAAGATAACATGGCTTAGAGGGCTGCTCAGGCCCAAACCCATTATTTCAGGGCTGGGCCCAAAAGCTTGATTACCTTAAAAAAAAAAACCCTATTTTTCAACCTCGAACCTTTATTTAAATAGAACTTACAGGCCCGACCCTTGTTCCCAATTCTAAGTAGGGATAGGAACAAGCTAGGCTAAGTTTTGGCCAAATAAACCTGAACATATAACAAGGGCTTCAAGCCTAGTTTGGTCTAAAGCCTTTTTAAAAGCCTACTTTATCTGTGACCTTTAAAAAGACTTCCAAAACAAGGCCTTCTAGGCTATAAGTAGGCTGAGACCAAAATGTAGGCTTTGAGTAGGCTTCAAAGCCTATATGCTGTAGGTATAGGCTTTAAGCCTATTTATAGCCCACATGTAATTAAAATGAAATTAAAAAATGCATATAAAAATTATTTTAAAGAGTTAGTCTAGACTATCATCACGTTAATAAAACTATAATAGTATATAGAACAAAACAACATAACCAATGAAAAGAACAACACAATACAACGAACAAAACAGCAATCAACAGCATTATGGGTTCTAAGTTAAAATTTCATGAAACCCGATACTCAACTAATGTTACTGATGCTCAATTGCCTGACTTAACATACCCTTGTATTAAATTACAATAGAATTCCTTTTTTGTTTGAGAAACCAAAGCCACTCATTAAAAATTTTAACTCATCTATTTTTCGTTCAAGCCCCTTCAATGAATAAAAATAAGCAAGAAATCCAAAACTGGATTCAGCCAGTCTAACCCCCCAAAACCGTCATTGTTTCAACAACTTTTTCAGCTTCGCTCACTGATTCAAGTGCTGCATTACAAGCAAAATAACAATCAACGGCATTTCTGAGTATTGATTATGTTTTTAGACTTTTTAATCATTCAAGCAGCAGATATTCACAAAACCGTGGGTCTGGGGATTCAATCATTAACAGGAAAAATCAGAGCAAAAATCGAAACTTGGGATTTAGTCATTTCCAGATCTCAGAACAAAAACAAAACCAGAAGAAGAAAGGTAACGACCTGGAGGAGTAAATCGAACCTTGACAGCAACGCAAGAGAGAGGCAGACGGCAACGTGAACCTTTATCTGAGCGGCGAGTGCGAACAGCGACGTGCTCTGCTCTCAGTTTCGAAGTTTCAGATTAGCATGGAGGAAGGAATGAGGGGCCGCGCTCTGCTCTCTTTCGAAGAGAACGTGAGGCGGTGAAGGTCAGTGCAGGAAGGAGGCGCCGGCTTGATTGGGTTAAGGAGGAGAAATTATAGCGCAGTGACCCAGAAATAGCAGGATTAGCATAGTTAATAGTTAGGGAGAATTTTAATAAGAATTAATAAATAAATAAGACTTAAATTTTTATTTGAAAATTATTATGGACCCTAAATTTTTAAAATATATAAAATAAATTTTAAATTTTTAAATTTATAACAAAATAAATTCTGATCTTTAACCTTTTTAATATTATTACTATTCTCGTGAGTATTATAACAGTTAGGATTAAATTCATAGGAAAATAAACCTTAAACACTACCTGTATGGATAGTAATAGTGTTAATAAATTAGTCAGAATTTATTTTGCTATGAATTTAAAAGTTTAAAATTTATTTTGCATATTTTAAGAGTTTAAAGTCCAGAGTAATTTTTAAGCAATAATTCAGAGTTATATTTGCTCATTAATCCTTTTAATAACAACCCCTTAGATCACACTTATTTAAATTTAAAACTCTTAAATTTTTGAAATTACATCATAATCCAGAGGTACTAAAGCCAAGCAAACAAGTTGAACTCACGGACTAATCAGTTTAACCCGCACAATCTGACGGGTTGGGTTAAAGAAATTGACTCATTTTTTAAAACAGACTGGGTTAGCCCAACACGTAAAATTAGCGAGCTAAAATGGGCTAACCCGCGGGCTAAATGGGTTGGCCCGCAGGTTAGCATATTTTTTAAAAAATAATTTTTTATTTTTTAAATTACATTATATTTTTTTATAAATCTACGATAATGATAATACTTCTTAAATATATAATTTATGACTCTTAAATATCTCCTTTACATTTGAAATATAATGTAAATTTTTTTTACAATTTACAAATAAAATTTTTGTTATAATTTGTGAAGATGATTTATTAGTTTTTATAAAAATATTTTGAATATATATTATTTATTAATCTTATAAAATCTATTGATTGAAATTATAAATATAAATTTACTGAGAAAAATAATATAGGTTTATATTTAAATTTTCTTCCTCAATGACAAAGATAGCACACCTAGGCGAGAAAATGATTGATAATAAAAATCTAGTAAAATAAATTTGCTTGATTGAATTCTATATTTATTTTATTTTATTTATAGGTTTTTTAAAAGTTAATTTGCTTTAAAATATGAAATAAATAAATATATTTATATCATATAAATTTTAAATTATTAAAAAAAATTTGATAATTTTTTGCAGACCAGCCCACGAGTTAGCCAACCCGTTAGAAAATGAGTTGAGTTAAATTTTTCAACCTGTTTTATCTGACGAGCTGGCCCAACCTAACCTGTAAAAATACCAACCCGTGCAGGCCAACCCGCGGGCTGGCCCATAACCCATTTGCCCAGTGCTAAGAAGTACTAATTTGATATTAATTTTTTTAAAAAAATGAAAAAATTGTCACTTAATTAAATCAATATCAAAACTTTTCTATTTCATTTATTCATTGTCCTACTTCACTTGTTAATTTACTTACAAAATATTGTTAATTAACCTACTTAACTTGTTTTTATTTTAAATGTTTAAATCACCTTAAAAAAACTTATTAATTCTTATACTGTATATTATTCATTTACTTATTAAATTTTATTTATTACTCTATTTTACTTGTTCATTGTCAAACTTTCACTTAATTTCATTCCAAGAAAATGAATGAGTGAAGTAGAGCAATAAATAATATTTCATAAATAAATGAATAAGTGAAGTAAAATAACTCTGATATTAATTTAAATTAAGGGTAATTTTTTTACTTTTCTCAAAAATTTAATATTAAATTAGTACCCCTAAATTGCAGTAAAATTTTAAAAATTTAAGGTATTTGAATTTAAATAAGTGTGACAAGGGGTCTTTATTAAAATCTCCCTCATAGTTAATACATATTTAAATTATAATATAAAATAAATAAGTTAAGTATAAAAATTATATATATACATGTAAATAAATAGAAAATTAATCCATTATTCCTTATAATTTTTATCATTTTAAAATTAAATTTCTATAATTATTTTATTTTAATCAAATCCATTATATATGTTAATCCCTTAAAATTAAAATTATTAAGAATGATTTACTTTCTCAAAACAAAAACACTTTTAAAAATTATTTAATACAAATTTAAATCTCAACTCCTTGATATATTAACTCACAAATCTCATAAAGATAGTGACATGACTCACACTCATGCATTGTGATTAGATTTTTTTTAATACACAAGTTCCCCATAGAAGCAAGTGCAAAGCTACATTTTATATGTAATAAACTTACTTAGAAAATGATAAGTTAATTATGTAAGTTTTGAGTTATAAAAATTATATAATTAATTTTAAAACTATGTGATATTTTAATAAAAATTTAAAAGTTCTTAATTTTATTTTTAGAAGGAAAAGTTAAGGATTTGAACTTCAAAGATGAATAAATCTAGCAGATCAAATTATAAGAACTTAATTAAAAAATAAATTATAAATATCTAATATAAATTTGAGAGAGAAAAAATTATATGAACTTGTGCCTCATTTGACACCAAGAAATTGGAGAGAGAAATGGAAGCAAAACCCATAAATTGTCATTGAGTTCTAGAAAAATTAGTTCCATCAAATATGAGGGAACTATGTTTCGCAAATAAGCTTAAAGAGCCAAGTTCCTACCTCACTTCCTTTCATGTTTTCCCTCTTTACCCTTAAGATGCATTTGATTGGGGGTTTTGTGTAAGGTCTCCCTTAATCCACGTTTAACTTCAAAATTCAAGGTAATTGTGAAAATAACCTAAAAAAATTACTAAATTTGCAAACTCTACAAAAGTGAGATTCTAAATTTTCACAATTCAAACATTCCACTATATACATATTTACCAAAATTAGAGTACAACAACTTCACGAAAGCATGGGAATCTAATTTATATTATAACATTTGCAAAGGAAGTGGAATTTTTCAACAAAAATAGCATGATGCGCCACAGCCCATATGTCTTTATGACATGTACCATAGCGCATTATATAAATTTGATAGCATCTTTACTATCACAAAACTACTTTGGGGGCAAACTTCCGACGTGTCCAATTTCTCCATCCAACATTCATTTGAGGTGATCTAAATATCTATAAAAAGTTTTTTCCTAACTCTAGTTAATGAAACTAGTTTTATAATCAAATTATTTTTTAATCAAAAATTAAACACTGATTTCTTAACTCACTCCTTTTCACAATTTAAACACATATTAAGTGTTCTAATTTCATATCAAGTGCTAAAAACCCAAAATATACTCAAGACCACACTGAATAGATTATAATGAACCTGTACAATACACCACGTCACACTATTAACACATCTAATATATTTTCAATACTCAACCCTATAATCACAAAAAATAAAAAAGGGAGTCTCAATTTCATAAATCATTCATTTAATCGTCATCATTCACATGACATACTCATTTCTCACTTGCACTAGTGTTTTAGCCCTTTTTTAGAATTCAAAATTAATACATATACATCATAAGGCCTAAAATACACAATTTACTTCAACAATCTCATAGTGTAAGAAAGCCAGAAACATGTACACCCCTAGTTTGCAATATCATGTAAAGTATATGCATGATAATCAAAATAAAAATAAGGCCTGCAAATAGGATAGTAATCTTATGCCTCGAATTGTTTCTCACAATCTTGACTCGATAAGCTAGTTTTTATAATATTGAAAAGAGAGAGGTGAATACAATCACTTAGTAACCAAGGTCTATATAACTTATACAAATGTATGTCAATCAATTTAAATGCAAGTGATAATCCATTGTCATACTCATATCAATTTCTCATTATCAATGGCATAAATTCATGAAATGACAACATGATAATAATTTTTTTTTGATATTACAATGATTAATCACATGATTTCATTTCAAAGGACACAATATATATAATCATGAGGCCTTTTATCATAATATTCATGATCACACATCTCTTATATCCTCTTTATGCCCTCAACTAAGGAGATCATTTATGTGACGAGACTACCCTAGCTAATTACGTGTGAGAAGCTACCCAGCTAAGGTTGCTTAATTCACTTTGTGGGTTATGGTTTTTGCCAAATCTCACACTGTGAGATATTGTTCTCCCTAAACTAGCTTCCTTGTCAAACAGGTGAAAACTAAAGCAAGCTCAAGTCTTTTACTACATAACGGGATAGTTTCTCGTCAAACAAGTGGGATGATATATATAAATAAATCTAGGAAAACTATTGAGCTCTAATGATAGCCTTACTATGTGGATTTTAAACTCACTACTCATTTTCTTAAGCAAACTCTCGTGTCTCATGATCATGCAATGTATAAGAAGGTGATATTCCTTAGCATGCAAAATACTCAATTTACAGGTATGCTGAATATTATCATTGCACTCATGTTACACATAATATTCACATAAACACATAATAACAAATTATTGAACTCCACATAAACAACATTTCATTGAACTCTACTTATAAATATTCTCTGAACTCTATAAAAATTATTTCATAGAACTTCACAAATTCATAATATTTAATTTTCAAAAATTTTATGCCATACTTGCATTTCAATTAATTTCCCTCACTTCAATTACAATGTATAAATCAACTAACACACAAGTACAAAAGAGATTTTTTTTGGTTTTCTCAAACCTTTGAAAAGTTAAAGGTTTAACCCTCAAGTATACACTTTTAAAGCTTTTACAAAACCTGAATGGTGCCAAATATAATCACTCTATATTTAATCATAATATTAATCATCAATATCTCTTTTAGGATAATTTTTCAATATATAAGTCAATATTTTTAACTCTCACAACTCAATTCCCTCATGCATAAGAGTACCTACGGGGTCTATTAGCTTCCTTTATCTCATATTATCGGTGATGAATTATTAAGCCACTATCAATGGCCATCAGACACCTACAACTACTCTCATTTATGACAATTTCGGGTATTTATGATCCCTCGACAACCAAAACTCAAAATGCCATAAATTTTAAGTTGAAATAATCTAAACAACTCTCATTAACTCTATTTAAGATAATGAGTTTAGATCTATAGCCTCTATAGACTGAAAATCATCATTTCTATCAAACCCTAACTTTCATATTTAAGAAAATAGAAGACACAAGAGAGATTTAAGTTTAGGGAACTTACTTCTTGGGTTGAGAAGCTCCAAAACACTCCCAATACTTCAATCCTTTAAGCACTAGTAGAGCTCCCTTAGTTTTCTCCTTCCTTATCGCTCAAATTTATTTTTGTCCTCTAGTTTTCATATTAGACTTTATGTTTGATAAACTGAATATGGTGCATGGTATGGGGAAGCACATTTCATGTTTTGATGACTTGTGCGCTGCGGCATGTGACATAGAATCATTACACTTTATTTTTTTTACTTTTTGATGCCCAAGCGACCTGACTTCGCTCTAAAATTAAACTTTTACTTAGCTAATTAAGGGTTAAATTTTTTTAAGATGTTACACTTTGCAGGGAAGGGCCTTTACATTGCTCCCCTCCAATTTTGAGTTTTTTAGAGGAGATTTAAAATTTTTGACTAATTTACCTTAACTATTTAATGATACTACATGCCATTCTCCACATATATTGCCTCTTTACTAGCTTACCCTCCAAATCTTGATGATGCTCTTACATGACGACTTCCATTCACATTGGAGGAAGGAGCAGGAGCTTTCATGGGAGATATATCCCAATTCTTACAACAACAATTCTGAGGAGAAACTAGTGTGTCATAGATATTGCTAAAGGAAAAAGGATAAAGAGAGAATTGTGCTGATATTTAAAATTTGAAAAATTTGATCCTCTCTCATCTATTAATCATAACTGATGGTTACCAATAGAGGAAAAAAAGAAAAATTATTCTTGTTCTTTGTTTTATTTGCTTAATAATAAAAAATATTTAATTAATTTCTATATATAATAATTAATATAAAAATATTAATAAAACACCCCATTTAAAATTATAATTTAATTTAATAAATCAAGGTGGAAAGTTAATTTATGCAAAGAACAATTAAAAAAATAAATCAACCAATATGAAAGGGTGTAATAGTAAATCAATTAATTCCTTCTCTCCCCTCCTAAATCAAATGAAAGAGCATTAAAAACCCCTCCCTTATAACAAAAGCAAACAAGATATAATTAAATCTTCCCCTTCCCTCTCCTTTGAACCAAACATGCCCTTAATTTCTTTTGTCACGTTACAAGCCTTGATGAATGACAGGACTCCTCCCTCTTCTCCTAAAACAACGGCGACGATCCAACATCACTTATGACCCTATTACTTTTGTCATTGAGCTCTAAGCTTGACCTCGCCGATTCCAATATCATTAGTCCATTCCTTGCTTACATTCTCTACACCCTCATCCATCTCTCGTCCAGCCTCATCAAATATCACCACTGCCCCTCTCCCACTCTCTTACTCAATTGTCAATGACGCTGCCCCTCTCCCTCCCTCTCTCTCACTCCACCTCTTTCATGGAGTCCCCCAACTCCACTGTTACTATTGCCAACACCTCCATTATCTCCTACCGGTCTAGTTTCTTGGTTCCCCAATTCAAAGTTTCATGAATTTTTATCTTTGATTCCCTTCTCACTTGATTGCGCCTAGATCATTGTTTACAATTAGAGGCTTTAATTATCAATTGATTGTCACTGTCGTGCTTGCTAGTTCATGGAAGAGATAATGGTAGAGGTAGAGATAATGAATTTTATTTTTAATTTGGGGCTTTCATGGAAGTGAAGAGATAATGGATTATTGTCTTGATTTGGTTAGTATCTATGATTTGTTGCTCTGTTTGTAAAATGATGGTTTCATGGGTTCTCACATGATGATTTTTTTTCCCTCCAAAAGTGGTTCATGATGGCTGGGAATGCTTCTAGGGTGGAAAGGATTTTTTTTGTTGGAGGGTATTTTGGTATTTGTATATTATAAATATATATTTTAATTAAAAATTATACTTCACTTTCGTATGCATTCCAAACATGTTTTGAAAGTTCATTGCCACCTCACATCTTTTTGCATATCCACTTCCTTTTTCATTTTGAGTTCCATCTAAAATTCTTTCAAATGATCAAAGGATGCTTTGTAAGTTATTTTTCTTATAAATAAATAAATACTTAAACATACTATCTTTAAACAAATAGGTGTGGCCATTAATACCGGTAAAAAGCTTTAAGTCTGGCCTATTTCGGTTTATGAATAAGCCAGATTAAACCAGGCTCCAACTAATTGAGGTCATAGACTGCCTGAAAGACCCCCTTGGCCCTTGCTACTGAATAGGAATGTGATCATAATCAGAACAGCATAGTTTCATTCACTAACCATTGAGCCATCTGAGCCGTTGATCGAAAAATAATACTGACCGTTGGTTCAATTAGGGGTTTCATCATGGAGTCAACCAGTCAATTCTTGATGGACGATGGCTCGCCATTTATTTCTGAACCCTGAAGCTCAATTTATCGTATTGTTTGGGCTTGAGAGTATTGCTTGGCTTAAGTAGTTTTTCTATTTTTTGACCATTAAGTAGTTTTTCTATTACCAGTTAAGAAAAACAAGCAAATGAATATTTTAAACAAATGTAACGGAAATACTAAGCTGATAAAAATGCTCTTGAAAAATATTACAACAACAAATTAGTACTAGAGATGGATTGGTAGAATTTAGGGAAAATGATAATTAGGGACTATATAAAAATATTAGTATCAATTACAGATTTTAAATTATTAAAATCTCAATAACAAACTATCATTCTTGCTTATAATTAAAAATATGTTAATAATTAGTTGAAAAATTAACAAAATATATTTGAAATTATTTGTAATAGCAATTGAAAATTTATTAGAGTTAGTTGTGAATCTCAATTTTTTACTATTAATATATAAATAAACCATTTGAAAAATTAAGAAAATACGCATGAGATTATTTGTAATGTTTGTTAAGAATTTATAAGAATTAATTGTAAATGGCAAACCAATCACTTATGATTTTTTGTAGTTAATGTATTGATACATTGTTTGAAAAATTTACAAAATACACTTAAAATTATTTATAATGTTAGTTAAGAATTTATGAGGGTCGGTTATACATTGCAAGCCAATTACTTATGAATTTTTGTTATTTTCTTAAAAAATCAAAAAAAGATACTTAGAAATCTTTATAAGTTAGTTGAGAATTTATAAAATTTAGTGTGAATCTTACGTATTTGAGTATTTTAAGTTAAATCCAAATAAACCAATCTAAACTAACGACTCTTGCTTCTAAGTTAGAGTAAGCTGATGATTATTTTTCCTCATCGCGTCGCACTGTTTCTAAGAAGGAATTGGGGATATTTTAAAATTTCTATGTTGATGACAGGTTCCTTGTCCTTTGTTTGTCAAGGAGCTTGGATAGAAGGGAAGAAATGCATTAATTTGAATCCATGGATTACTAGAATATTATAAAAGGAGAATTACAATCAAATCTCAAATAAAAAAAAACTTAAATATAGTACATGTGAAATTTTAATATTTAACAAGCAGACAGGATTTATAAGTAAATTAGTAATAATAATTTATTTCAGCTAGGATTCATATGTAATTCTCTCCATTATAAATATTCACTAAATTAAAGGGCCCACCGGAGGATTTTTGAATGCTGCTTTAAGCTTATTAAATCGACTATAGAGAGAGAGGGGGATAAATGCAGCATGAAATTTTTTAATTCGGGTGAACAATAAAATAACGAATACGTTGGAAGCTTGCCTTGTCATCTTGTGATTGTCGTTGACTTGTTGAAGATAAAAGCAGATGTTCATCGTCATCAGCAAGTGTGAAGGCAAAGAGCAGAATCATAAATAATCGGGATACTTCAAAAAACCCCCCACAAGACTACTGATTCTGCAGTCTCTTCTGAGCCTAATTTTGGCGTCTTACAAAACACATATATTGAGCACAACGTGGGGTGGTGAGAGCTCCATTCAAATTCAAAGGGTTTACTTCCCTTGACTTAGCGATCGATTTCTTAGTTCTTACGTAACTGTTCATTGAGGGGCTAAAAGCACAGCTTCTTAATTCTCATGTTCTCACCACCAAAGTCATCGCGATTTTCGTCCAAACAGTCGAGTCCTCCTGAATCAACGGCTCGAGCTTCGGAAGAGCAGACCCCTCCTCGGGACGCATGATATATGGCTTTGGTCTAAGCAAATTTAGTACACACGGTGAGTTCCATGCAATTCGAAGCTGCTTAACAGCTTTCCATTAATTATGATTCTGAGACTAGAAAATTCGTGAGTCTGGTGTGGTTTTCCAAGATTTTCTATTCACTAGATACTATTTGGGTTTCATATATATAAGGTGTGATGAATTTAATTTTACTTATTACCGTCAGTTCTCTTACAGAGGCCAGCGAGGTTTTAAAATAGTTTGAAGTCTCCTGAACAAGAGATCGATTCAGAGTGCAAGACTGAGACAAAAAAGAGGGTGATGGAGGAGACGACTGAGATGGATAAGATGAACGACGATACCATGTTGCCCGGTTTTAGGTTTCACCCCACGGACGAGGAGCTTGTTGATTTTTACCTCAGAAGAAAGATTCAGCAGAAATCTCTCCCTATTGAGCTTATCAAGCAAGTGGATATTTACAAATACGATCCTTGGGATCTTCCAAGTGAGAACTCTTAATCAAGACAGACACTGACATTGATATTTTCTCTCATATAAGCACTTACATATAAGTCAGTGCGTGCGTGCGTGCGTGCGTGTAACAACACTTAACACCCCGAATGGCCACTTTTTTTCATTATTGGCTAAAGCTTTGACACGATTTTCGTCTCTTTTTGTCATTTCTGGAAGAGCTTGTGGCGAGCACTGGGGAGAAAGAGTGGTATTTCTACTGTCCAAGGGATCGGAAATACAGAAACAGCCCGCGACCAAATAGAGTGACGAGAGCTGGATTTTGGAAAGCCACCGGAACAGACAGGCCTATATACTCGTCAGAAGGCAAGTGCATCGGCTTGAAGAAATCTCTCGTGTTCTACAGAGGCAGAGCCGCCAAAGGCGTCAAGACTGATTGGATGATGCATGAGTTTCGCCTCCCTTCTTCCCCAGATTCACCTCCTCCGCCCAAGAAGCCCTTTGACAAAACCCTCTCTCCACAGGCACGTATTCTCCTCAACTTCTTCGTATTTTTCTCTAAACCATGCTTATCGATGCGTGTCTTTCTCCAGGATTCATGGGCGATTTGTAGGATATTCAAGAAAAACTCCATGTCCATGGCACAGAAAGCTCTGTCTCACACATGGATGGCTCAGTTGCCGGAGAGCATGGTGTCTGATATGCTCGCTCAGAGTGCAAGCCGCAATCACTTGATTTCAGAGAACATGTCTTGCACGACAGAAATAGGATCAGCATCAGGCATGAGGCACTACGGAGGAGGAAACAGGCAAGAATTATACGAGCAGGTATCTAGTGCCAATTACCCGGCTTCAGATTTTCTTATCAATGCTAGCAACACAGTGGTCTCCAACAAGGCCGCCCAAATCCCGGTCTCGAACGCCGACGTAGCGGACACCTTTATGTTCTCCACGTTCGAATCATCAGGCCCTTGTGCCTATATAGGCTTCGAAGGGCCAAACAATATTATGTTTAGCGGCGTCTCAGTAGTGAGCACGCCTCATCACGACGTACAAGGACTAAGCATGACTACCTCAACAGTAGCAGAAGCCATTGGGTTTCCCTTCAGCTTGCCTCCAGTTTCGAACGATGCTTGGAAGCCTATTCTGCCATGGGAATCACCACCTTGTCCCAGCGACATGTCTACAAATAGATGCTGCATTTAAATCAACCGCGCGTGTTCCTTCCAGGTGGACAAAGCAATATGCTTGATTATTACAGTCACTACTAGTTATTTCCTGACGAATTAGTACATTTATCAGTAAAATCATTACCATCAGGTTCTGATTTCACTCGTAAATGTACCGGGTTGTTAATACTTTCTTTTTCCATTTTTTATTAAACGCCACTACCACCACGGAACGCGGAAAATAACCACAGATTTTAAAGACCAGGGTCGCTTGCTTTTTAGCTTTAATTGTTCCCCCCTCATATATGATCAGATGCTTGGTGGGTTATACCATGTAAAATATTTGATGTCTCATGCATGACATTGACATCTGATAAATTCTTTTCAAGTCCTTTTTTCTGGTGAAATTCAAGTCCTTTTTTCTAATATGTCGGTACTCCTTTAATTTCCATCTTTTTCAATCTGCGCGTGATCATGAACATCCTTGCCTGTCCGATTAGTTTATCTCATCATGTTATAATACTTGCATGTCTTATCGGCCGTCGAGAAAATAATAAACAGAAAACTGTCACGGGAGAAGGTCGAGTCCTGCTTAATAAGACGAGAGTAATCAAGAAATAAAAGGAGAAGGTTCTGAAAAAAATTTAATGCTAATTACCAAAAAGAAAAGGATAGCAAGCAGGGTCTTGCTAAGTTATTGATTCATGTAAGAGAAGTTGTAGCTTCCACTGTAAAATTCAATGCATATCACATTAATTTTGAATGAAGGGATATAACAGTAGTATATAGTTATATACCGAATACATTTGTATTTTGCGCGAAATTACAAGAAACATGACGTTTTCAGAGGGTCATTATCTAGTAATTATCGCGTACGCGATGAGGGAGAGCAGAGGAAAGCGCAAATTGAGAAGAGGTGTGAGGAAAGCGAAGGCGAGGGAAGGCTGATTATGATTAATTAGAAACAGGGAAGCAAGGGAGCTTGGAGATGTACAGAAGGTTTGATTTTGACTAATTAGAATCAAAAGCAACATACATGTGGAAAGCTGCACCATTAATTTTTTATTAGATCTGGAGTGCCATTTGCAAAATATATAATATATATAATTTACCTGCGGGACATTGCATCCTCGTCAAGATGGCCGAGTTGGTCTAAGGCGCCAGTTTCAGGTACTGGTCCGAAAGGGCATGGGTTCGAATCCCATTCTTGACAAATTTTTTCCCCCTCCAAATCAATTATTGGATCTGGACGTCACGCCCTTTGTTGGCAGAATATATGGACCAGCCAATGGCCACCACCTCTTAAGCCGTGATAGACATTAGACAATGGTAGTCAGGTTGGGTTGACGAAGCAGATACCCGTGACCAGTCTTCGATCAGGAACACTCGCATGTTTTCTCTTAAGATGTAATAAAAATATGAAATTGGAGAATGTCTTTTTTTTTTTTTTGGGTAATTGCTAGCAAAGGAACGTGCTTGTAGTAAATGAAACCGCGGGTTCTAAAAAGATGTAACACAACCAAAACAAAAGAAACGAGAAAAAAGGCTTCAAAACAGAGCCAACGCAGCACGCTCTTCAGCTAATAATGTCTGCAGTCTGCACTTGAGGAGGCGTCGGTAAAATAACCACGGCAGGAAAAAAAAAAAAAACAATCGTTGTGACCAAAAAACAAAAACTAGCGCTGGGATGATTTTACCAAGACTAACCATGCGAATAGAATTTTGCCTCTAATACTCTATTTGGTTGGAAAGAAAACATGGAAGGAAAGAAAAAAAAAGAGAAAACAAATTATTTCCTGTTTGGACAGGGAATAAAAATTGAAAGGAAAGAAAGTGAGAAAAAAATAAGGTGTGAGACCCACAGTTTTTTTTTTTTTCAATTTTTCTTTCAAAAAATGAAGAGATTTTGAGAAAAAACTTTTTTTCATTGTCTATCCTCTCTCTCTTATTTATTCTGTGCTCTGACTCTCAGATATTACTTTATTATATTAATTTAATTTTAATTAAACAGTTTGTTTTATAATTTTTAAATTTTATAGATATAAATTATATTAATTTAACTAATTAATTAAATAATTTAGCCATTGGCTACATCAAGTGTCCAGAATTATATTAATTTAATTTTAATTATTTGATTTTAAAATATAATATAAAAATACATTTTCAATAAATAATTTGACTTTAAATTAATTTGATTATGTTAATTTTAATATAATTTTTGGTTTCAATTTATTTTCAAAAATATAATTACATGAAATATGATATATTTTAATATAAAGGTATTATAGTTATTATGATATCTGTTCATTTTCTTTCCTTTCTATTTTTTTTTTGTCCATCTAAACAGGAGGAGTGATAATTTTTTTTTTTCAAATTTCTCTTCTCTTCATTTTCTTTCCTTTCATTTTCTTTCTTCTCAATTTTTTTTCCCATCCAAATAGAGGGTAAAGCAACTGCGATCGTTATTCTAAAACGGAAGAAAATAAAACAAGAATCAACTTCCATCATCACACACTGACAAATCAAATGGGTGGACGGTTATGCTTAGATAATGTTTAGATTGACGGATTTAAATTTAAAATTTAAAATTTTGTATTTTAAATTTCACATTTTAAATTTCTCTATTTAAATTTTTTTGTTTAAAAAATTTTAAATGAATAGGAGAGATGAGTAAAATTCAAAATGAAAGCAAAAAATTAAAAATAATAAGTTTATTTTTATTTTTCAATTGATAAGAAACAATGAGTTATAATTAGAAAAGATATGAGAATCGTATAGAATTCATAATGAAAATATGAAGAGAATGAGAGATTTAGATTTATTAGATATTCAAATCACTAAAGTGTAGAAAAAATTTAAAATTATAAAGAAAATAAAAACAATGGATTTATAATTTCTTGATTTATCCAATAAAAAAATTAATCCAAATCTAAATTCTTGTTAATTCACACACACCTTTAAAAGATAGAAGTTTTGGGCTCTTCACCTCAACATTTATTAACGATGGCAATGAGCCAACTAATGGAGCTCAGAGATTTAATGATACTGTGGTGCAACACCAGTCCAATAGTTACAGATAATCATTACGATACTTCAGGGACGATTATTCTTCTCATGAATTGATTTTTAATTATCACTTCTTTAATTGCTCAAGTCTAACAAAATTAAAACACCAAGGTCGGATTGTCAACACACCAAAATTCACCAAAAAAGCTGGCTATCGCAAATGGACGCACATTTTTTCTTGAAACCCTGTTTTAGCAGTTAATGAAACCTGTACTATTCGTTTTCTAGATACCCATCGCTCTTTATAATTAAAAAATGATTGACTCCTATCCCTTGACGTCTAGAGTCTAGACTTTACGCTTGGCTCAGAACGATGACACTTGGATATAGCAATGTAAGTCACCCTCCAATTCACAAAGAAGCCAATGCCAATCACCCACGCATGCCTGACCATAGACCCTGGTCTTGCTTATCCGGCCACATTTCTGGCGAACCTTCTGTTGCTACTGTCGGGAGACTTATTGGATGCTATAACATCGCGCATGTTGTTTGTTCATAATTTTTGCTTAATTCTAGCACTCGTAATTAAAATCCATAAGCTGGAGTGCTCGGCAACCTCCAACCGAATTAAAACTGATTTTCCTTTACCTAGTTAAAGGGTCATTAACCGAACAACGATTGAACTAACTATTGCAAGCCCCGACAACAAACGAGTGGGACATTATGACTTGTGAGAACTATTCCAAGCCATTGATATAGGCTTTGCTCATAAGAAACAAACAGCCAACAGTCGCTCGTAGACAACTCCAAAATGCATGGCAACAGTCGTAATGTATACCAACAAATAAACTATAAAACACGATAAAACACGCAAACACACGATATAAATCCAAATTAAGTTCCACATTCACAATTGACAACATCCGAAGTCAAAATTTCTCAACTACATATTTTAACAAAAGGCTTTGTTTTCAGCGATGACCCCATCAACCAACCGATTTAACTCCTTGATGCTAGCTTTTCTTTTGCCTTCTGGATCTTCAATACCTTTTTCACAATCTTTTGCTCTTCAACCAAGAAAGCCCGGATTATCCTATACAGAGATTACATAACCCTACTCAATTACTTTGCTCCAGAGAAATTTAATCAAGTATTGGATAATCATTTTATTAGCAGCATACCTTTCTCTAACAGCACCTCCAGATAATACACCTCCATAAGCCCGATTAACTGTCCGGCGGTTCCTAGACAATCTAGACCTCTTGTATTCAGCAGGTCGCAGGTGTGGAATCTGCAGATTAAATTTAGACCAGAAAAATCACGACAAAAGATAGCTCAAAGGGAAAGAAGGAAAGGCAGGCAAGGAGAACAGGAAACTTGGTTTAAGATCTTCAATATAGTTTACATGGTAACTCAGTCTGAGACGATGCAATGATGCTCGATGGATAATGGTGGAGTAAACAGTGAAGAGAATACTTTAGAATATAAAGAAACAATGACAAATAGAATGTAAGGTAGCTAACATGAAGAATGGGGAGGGGAACAACAATTTCAAGCTAGATAAGGAAGAAGGGGGGAGGGGATAAATGAAAGCATGATGCTTAACCATCGGACAACATACTTCTTATCACATGCATTCGTCACATCATCAATAGTTAGTCTCTTATAGCTTAAGTGGCCAAGTAGTGTCATCACTCATGATCCCTAAAACAATAAAAGCCATGATGCAGTTTCAGTTGTAACAACAACCAATAATCATCACCAGTCTTCGGTTCAGCAGGTGTACCACATGTAGAGGGCACTGGCCACATTCCTTCCACACCATATCCTTTCCTTTTGGCCTCACTGAATTTGAGGAACCCCAGGGTATGACTCTCACTCATTAAACATCAACACATGCCAGAGATAAACTGACAACTTAAGACAGACCATCTGAATGAAAGAAAATTTAGAAGGCAAGAACAGATATCCAGCACAAAGACAGCATACAGGGAGGGGAAGGGAACATCAGAACTCAAGAAAAATCAAAATGCAGCGGATAGATTTTTTTCCTTTCATAGGAAGAACATGCAGTTCCTGAATAGGAGGATATCAGATATTTTTATCAAGCTCTGGCTTCTTCACAAGCATAATACTTCTATAATCAATCCTATCTAAGGAGCATCTCTATTTTAGACGCTTTATCGAAAGGGTGAACAATTTATTTTGTTCTCCAGCAATCATCAACAGCAAAGCCTAAAAAACAAATTGCATTCTCGACAATGTAATGTTCACTCTACTTTCTGTTAGTTCAAAGCATATTATCGAACTCCATGGGCCAAATTAACTACAAAAGCAGCAAATGTTCATGAAATTCAGAAGGAATCAATACCCCTTGGATCCTCTTCCCAGTAACAGGGCACTTTGGTCCACTCGCCCTCTTCTTTGTAGTCTGATACACCAACTTGCCACCTGAAAAAAATCATCAGGAGTTAAAGAACCAAACAGCATATATTGTCAAAAATACAATCCAACGAATCAAGAGTCGTGACCGCTTGACAACGCAAGCATTGGTACAAATGATGTGCATAAGAAACACAGAAGCATTGATAAAGAAACTGAAAGGATTGAAATAATAATCGGAAGACCCGGGCCAAAAAGCATTGTACAAAATTGTACAAAACGGTAAAGCCAAAGAAGGTGGAGAAGTAGTTCGTACCAGGGGTTTTGACGACCCTGTGCTGATTGGATTTAGTGGCGTAGCTGTGACGCTTACGATACGTGAGCCTCTGAACCATTTTTCAATTTTCAGTGATCACTACTCTGTTTAGAAGGAGCTTGGAATAGTGTAGAAAGCAAATGGGATTGAGGATGTGCGCCGGAAGTGTTAAATGCAGTCCTTTGACAGGGAAGGCAAACCCTAAATTGAATGGCTCTGAGAATCCCACCTTAATGTTGTCATAGTTGATTGGGCCGCACCAAATTTTATCCATTCGGCTCAAGCCCAACTAGTCCGCGGTGTTGGCGATCCAACTTCCAAGCAGGAATAACTTTTTTTTTTTTAATAATGGAGTAAAAAGATTATTTTAATTCAAATAGGAATATGATATCTTTTTTCAGCAATCGCAATGTTTTTAGTGAAAATAAAGATAATTAAAATATGATTTTTATGATTATAATAATAAAATTTAATGAACTTAAAATTCAAATATTTTATTTTTTAAACTATTCACCTAGCCAAGCAATTTATATTATTAAAATATAAGAGTAAAAAAGTATCAAAAAATTATACAAAAGTAAAATGATGGCTCATTAGCTACTCTGGAACCTTAGTCAACTTGGCATGAGAGGATTGGTCAAAAAAATCATATTATATTTTTGAAGTTTGGGTTTTCAGTAAAACAAGACAATTTCCCATGCATTGCACGGGTTGGATTTAAGAGATTTAAAACAATTATCATGGATATCAATATTAACACATTTGAGATTGTTAAATTTTAAAGAGTTCTTCTATTCAATCATTTTCCTTCTTAAATATTTTATATGCATACATCTTCTCTTTGTTTCTCAAGCTTATAATAAGTTACAGAGAGAGTTTAAAAAGGTTAAATCTTTGATGATTCCATCATATATGATTTAGTTGAAAAGCTTTTGGATAAGTATCATACATCTGAATTGAATTGTTTCTAGTTATAGAATCTCTTTCTAGTTACTCTAAAACAATTAGGAGATTCTTTAAGAAAAATATGGGTTCTGTTTGTGGTGGTCACATGCTATGGGTTGGTGGTCCTGCTTTTAGGGGTAAAATAAATTGCAAAATAAAATGCCATATATGAATAAAAGTTTGTCCAAAAATTAATTATATCTTTATGAAAATAAGAAGTTGGAAGGCCAAAGCATAACAATGTAGGTTTTTCCTTTGATCATATTCTCTTTTGTTTACTATTGTCGTTCACTCGAAGAGTAAGTTAGAGAAAACTTTTTTATCTTGATATTTGTAAAATGAATTACTTGACAGAAGCTAAGGTTTATCAAAGGCTTCTTTGTCAACCACCTACAAACACACAACTTTTAAGGGGATCAATCTTAAATGGATTCAATTTCTAAATAAATACTATAATGAGAGACTTTTGTTGGGAATTGATATTTTGGTACTAGGAGTGATTGGAGAAATTAAAATAAAAACATATACTAATTCAATAGTAGATTATTAGAAAAATGATTTTGCAGGTTCCAATAAGATGATTGAGAATTTAAATATTTAGAATTTAATCTTTTCCAATATTTGAAATGATTGAGATTTAATTTTTACTGTTAAACATTAAAATTGGTATTAGAAAAATAGTTTTGTAGGTTTCAATGAGATGATTGATAATTTGAATACTTAGAATTTAATCTTTCTCAATATTCAAAGTGATTGAGATTTAATTTTTATTGTCAAGTTTGAAATTAGTATTTTACATATTTTACATAGTTGACCATAAATGTTCATCAATGGAGTGATGGAAAATGAGTGAATGGAATATGAAATAATTAAATTTAATGAGTTTGTTATAATGATTATCTTTACAAGAAAGAGGATGAGTAATAATATAAACAAAGACAAATCTAATAGAGTTATAATGGGAGTATGGTTTTCAAGTTTCAATTTTTAGTAATTGAATATTATTAGGTGGTTTTCGTACTCATATTTTAATGGAAGATTTCAAATTTAAAAGAAAGAAGAAACACAAAATGTAAATTTGAAAGCCACAATTTTTTCAATTTGTGCAAGTTGAGCAAGAAAAAGCTATCAAAACAAAAATCATACTTTCTATTTTACAACTGGGTTCTTATGCTCTTCATCTGATGTAGCAGAATCGATCAATTGTGACTTTCAATAAGATTTTACAACTCTTCGACTTGATTTCATTATTTCCTAAACTAGTCGAACAAAGCTCGTTCAATGATAACAAAACCTGCCAAACAATTTTTAAAATAAAACACATGTGGAAAAAGAGAATGTTGATGGATGGTTTTGAAATAAAACATTCTTGGAAAAAAGGCAAATGTGAACGGCATCATCTTGGACACCTCCTTGAAGATTTTCAAGGGGAATAAATCAAAAAAATAGAGGGAGCCAAATGAAGGATTATTGGAAGAATCGTTAGGAATAAGGCATGGTGTAAATGAAGCTGGATAGATGTTTGAAATAAATGCTCTCGCTTGAAATGAGAATCAATAGGAGGATTGATGAAAAAACGGAAGATAGAAGAAATGGCACAAGAATAAGTTGAGTTGCATAAGAGAATTAAATTAAGACCAAAGTAAATTGACCAATTAGGTTGAATAAGAGCTAACCAGTCATAGTCCTCCTACACGATTTGTTAATATATATTGATTGATGATTGGATGAGTATTTTCTGCTAAAAATAATGAAGGAAAAAGAGAGAGAGATGAATCAATCAATGAAAAATATCAAAATATAAAAGAGAAGAGCACATGTAAAAACAAATAAAACAGTGATGTAACCATGAGCACATGCTCAATTGATAAAGGATAATAGTCTTAAATTTGAATTTTGAATATATAGCTGTGTTTTTGTTAAAAAAAATATATAGCTGTGTTAAATATTTATTGAAATTGCTTCACCCTTAATTAGAGTTGATAATATGAGTCAATCCGTGAGTTGTAATCTAACATAACCCACATCTTGGTATATTGTATTTTTGTTAAGCTACTAGTAAAACATATTTTTTATAGTTTTTATTTTGAAAATTATAAATTCATCTCTTTTTATTATTTTTTATCATATAAAATTAAATTTTTTCTCTAAAAATAATTATCCAAATAATAATAAAAAGTCTTTCTAAATCATTAAGAAAACACAATGAAAATTTAAAATACATTAATACGATTCAAAATAAATATATACTTCATCACAAACAAACATAATAAAAGCTTGAATTTAAATCCAAAGCTTAAAGATAAACTTTGCAATGGAAAAATCAATAGTACATTAAGTTCCATAACAACCCTTGATGAAATGCCCAGATTATCACTAAAAAAGGGATGGAAGATAAATTTTGTAATGAATTAGATGATCAGGGGGAAAATAATGATGATCCAATAAGATATTGGATTTGAAGCATAAAACCAAAGATAACGCAATAAGCTTTTTATCAATTTGTTTTCAGATATTTTACTACCATATATGTATATTCTTTTTTGGAATAAAAATTCCTTCCCCAGGCTCAATGCACACGTGGAAAAGCAAATTATTTTTAAGTAAGATTGAAAAGTTAAAAAAAAAATGCGAGCTAACTTGCCAATCTGTGAGTAAGCTCATTTTGAATTCTAGTTATATAATGTGAGTCAAAACTGTCCCGCATATAAATGAACTTTTTTTCTCCAATCTAACCCACCATTTTTTTGTGAGTTGGTGAGTTAAGTCTGTCGGTTCAACTTATATTATCAACTCTACTGTCAATATGGCTTCAGCAATTTGACACATGAATAATAGGTAATTGTATTAAAAAAATAAAATAAAACAATGACATCAACCTTTATAAACAAAACAGTGACAACAACCCAAATCAAGCAATTGGAGTTCATCTCCTTGAATTAATCCTTAACCTTGGAAATGAAGCAATTCCACAATAAAAGAGCCTATGTAAGCTAAGATTGATAGAGAACACACATAATAACTAGAATGATAAGAGTACATCATCAATTAAAATTAACATGAATGGTAGAAGTACTTATAACTTAAATAAAACCTTATGTATTTAAAAATTTAGTTGCATAGAAAAATTTAAATAATATATACAATTTAAAATTCACAACATTGTGTAGTTTTCTGTTTTAATCTACTAGTATATCACAACAACATCCATGCAACTTAGAGTTCACATACTCGTGCGACTCAAAATACATCACAACAATAAGAAGTATCCATCACCTTGTATCGATCACCCACGAAATGTATAGACGAGCCTTGCCCAATTGCCCATCACGGGCCATGATTTAGCGGTATGGCAGTATCACAATCCACAACATCTATTCTACACATCATTAGCAGTCCTAAAACATAATATTACCATCCAAATCCATATTCAAACTTTAAGATCAATTATTGATTCTTTCTTATATATCCTCATATCATCTGCAACAGAAATATACTCCATGTTTTTAACTAGCTAATGCAACCTGATCCATATTTTTAACTATAGTTAAGGGTTATCGGGGGATGGGGATTGCTCCTCTCCAGTTCTGGCTCCTTGTTTATATGCCCTCCTCTCTATTCCCCTTAAACCAAACAAAACCTTGTAAGAAGGATGATGGTATTCCAGACGCCTAAGAGAGAGATGGCGATCCACACCTAACTATTTACAAAGTCAACCTTCACAACTTGGTACGTCCCAAGCACAACTCTTTTTCCCACAGCACAGTTACGGCAAACAAGTTGGAAAGAATAGCCTGAAGCTTCATCAATGGCTATAACTGATCTCATTTAAATTCTACACAGTAATGCCAAAAAAAAAACATATTTTATATTTAAAATCAGAGTAAACTCCTTAAGTAGTTCCTATAATTAGCGGAGACCGGGTAAAAAGAATTAATTCTATCAACACCAATTACGTCTCTTTTGGGCAAAAAAAATAAAACCATTATTATGATACTTCTCTTTGACCAATTCAAAGAGAACTGGGTGGGTCTTGCTGTCTTCCAAGCTCCAAATGTCATTCATGGTAATTTATTATGAGTTGTTATGGATAGGAGAGGCATGCGAGGTGGCATTGCTTCCTTGCCTCGCTTCAATAATTGTCCACAATCGCCATCCATGCATTAGTGAGGAGGGCATACTGGGGCAGTTTTCTCTTGGATTGGCTATGCACCAAATCGAACAAGTTAGACTTTCTACCTACAAAGAAGATGATGATAACCAATTTATAAAGGCTGCTACAGTCACTGTCAATAATGCAATGCCATCTATCTATAGTATTAATATGATGAAGAGATAAGGGAGAGAGCTTGCAAGCCGGCCGGAGTCGGCTTTTAATGCCTGCACATTAATGGGGTGGTGGAGTTTTAGGGAGTTTAAAAGCAGTGCAGCCACATTGAATGCGACGCGGTTTTGAGGTGCACAAGAGGGTCTTCACAGGCTGACTTTGCCTATTCCCCAGCTTGCTCCTCCAGTAAATGCTCTTGCTGTCAACTTTTGACTCTTTGGCCCTTCCTTTCCTATTTTTACTCCTTCAAGTCAGCGTAACACCCTCCACCTTCATCACTCACGCCCCTTCTATATATGCTCATCACCACCCATTTCTCTTGGCATCCAAAGCTTGCTCTCTCCACCAAAGTACAGAGTGGGAAACGCACGGAGATTATATAAGTTGCAGCGAAGAAACAAGCCGAGATGGGGAGACCACCGTGTTGTGATAAAGAAGGGGTCAAGAAAGGACCTTGGACTCCCGAAGAAGATATCGTTTTGGTCTCTTATATCCAGGAACACGGCCCTGGCAATTGGAGGGCTGTGCCTACTAATACAGGTTCATATATTATTATTACATTCCCTCATCTCTACGTGCCGTGATTCCTCCTTTTGGGTTCTCTTTTTCGGGCATTGCTTGACTTAATTTGCTGGGGGATTTTTCAGGGCTGTCACGATGCAGTAAGAGTTGTAGACTTAGATGGACTAATTACCTGAAGCCAGGAATTAAACGTGGTAACTTCACTGACCAAGAGGAGAAGATGATAATCCATCTTCAAGCTCTTTTGGGCAACAGGTAATTAACTACTTGATTCGTGGAGTGTTTAACTTAACAAGGTTCCGTTTGGATATTAAGTGGCGTTCATGGTTTGTTGCGCAGATGGGCGGCCATAGCTTCGTACCTTCCACAGAGAACCGACAATGACATAAAAAACTATTGGAATACCCATTTGAAAAAGAAGCTGAAAAAATTGCAACCAGGTGGTCAGGGCAACTCTAGGGACGGATCATCAGCCTCACGATCAATGCCACGAGGCCAGTGGGAGAGAAGACTTCAAACAGACATCCACATGGCCAAGAGAGCTCTCAGCGAGGCTCTATCTCCGGATCATGAAACACCTTCTTGCTTATCCGAATCAAATCCCTCTAAGCCAGCATCCCAGGGCTTGAGCTATGCCTCAAGTGCCGATAACATAGCTCGTTTGTTGAAAGGGTGGATGAAAAATCCACCAACGGCGACCACAATAAGCTCTGCAATCACACAAAGTTCTATAAATAACCTAGCTGCTTCAGCCTCAGGTTCAGGCAACGATACTGCTTCTAGCGAAGGAATTGCAACAAGTGCATCGAAGGGAAACAGTACAGTTCAATTATCTGACACTAGTTTTGACTCCTTGTTCGGCTTTGAGTCTTTGGATTGCTCTTCGAATTCTGATTTTTCTCCCGAGGCTACTCTGGACAGCAAGCCGGATTGTGCAGGCGCAGAAATGCCCTTTCATTTGCTTGAGAAGTGGCTTCTCGATGATGCTACTACGATCTCATCAGGTGACCATGCAGGCGTCCATTTTTTCTAGCTTGGTTCCATTTCTGACTCTGGAAGTTCATTTTTCTCACTTCTAGCCTTGACTTAAGCCTTATCAAGCCTGATTTCTTCTCATTTAAAGCTTTTTGGTGCCTCTGTGTAAATTTCGCCCTTATTATTATTATTATACATTCTATCTGTGTTTAATTTATTGACTCGTAGAAGTAACTAATGACATTATATGTTTTTAAATATTCCCTCCCTTTTTATATATACTCAAAGAGGATGGAATTGGCAGGAAATGTGTAATAAATATTTATTGAAGAAATTTGATTAACCATGATAACTATGTCTGAAATAAAACAATTGAATTAAAATGCCTTCATAACTATGGATCAATTATTTTCTGTTAATGTAAATTATGAGAAATGTTTTAAAAAATATGTAATAAATACTTATTGAAACAGGTAATTTTATTTATATAAAAATATAATTAAAAAGTAATAGTTTCTCCTACAATTAAAAACGAAAATAGTACTTATTTCCACCACTATATTACATTCTGCTAGGGAATTTCAAGAAATTAGTGTTTGCACGTTACATTTACGAGACTGAACTAATTATTAAGACTTGCCAAAAGCCCAAAAGAAACTCTGATTTTTGTTTCAAAAAGTCGTGTGTTTTTTTTTTTTTTTTGGGTGTACTTTCTGTTTTACAAATTGATCATGAAAAGTAGTCAAACAACAATTCGGGCAAAATTAGGTTTTATTAAAGTTCCTTTGGACAGCAAAATTGGAATCCAAACGAAGGAACATGCTAGAAATTAAACTAATTAGATTGGTCGTGGTGATTGATTAATGATTAGTGAGCAGATAAACATTTAGTTAAAAGCATATCACAAAAATTTAAAAATATGTAATGAGTAGATTTGGGAATTTCGTCTCACTAGCTAGAAGTGTAAACCACAGACAATAACCAAAACTTGACGTGCTGATCGATTCAGGGCACGCAGAAAACTTGACCTTTTGGTTTTTGAAGCTCCCATTGTTTAATTATTTGATCCAATGATTTATTGGGGAATTGGAGGCTGCACTTTTTAAGAATAATTTTCGAAGGGGCGCTTGGTTGGCAAGAGCGTGTGAGAAAGAAAATGGAAATGACAATGAGCTGCTGTGAATTAAACAGCAGGTATACATGTTGGACTAAAATCGAAGAGGATGGAACTGGCATTTTTTTTTTTTGGGGAAAAAAATCGAACAACTTTGATTTTCTAAATTTATTTATATTGAGAAGAAGTAAGTGAGAATGAATGAAAAATATTTTACGAATATTCAAATAAGAATGACAATATATATATATATATATATATATATAACACTTTCCCTCCGACGAAGGTTTTGACCAATATAATAAAGGGAGATAGCGTAAACGAGTAGAAGAAAAATTCATAGAAAATCATGCTATGATTATTAATTAAGATGAAAATTAAATGAAATAGAAACTCGCTGAGTCGTGGCTATGCACAATTGAATATATCAGAGCGATACTGACGAAGAACCTAACTTGATTGACTCAATAAATGTTTGCTAAGCAGTAAACAAGCACAAAAATAAATAAATTGAATGACACCCATACACCCAAATTGCGGTTAATTTGCAGATAGCGTAACAAATTAACAAAGTTTTTTATCTGTTATAGTTCAGAAAGAAATACTGCCCCTTCCTTTATAGGACATTTTTGTGAAGTATGTTTTTTATAAGTCATTTTTATTATTATCATATGAACTAAGAAAAATTTTAAACCTGATTAACTTGACCTAAAAAATTCAATAAATCTACAACTTTATTCCTATATATTAAATATGCATACTTTAAAAATAAAATATTCTACATTTAATAATAATTTTTTTAACATTTAATAGGGGTAAAAATGTAAAAATATATATAATAATAATTTATATCTTATAATAGGACCAAAATAAATTTTTTTCCTTTACCACATAAATAGGACGAGGAGAGTAATATGTTTAAAATATAAGGTATTTTTATATTTTTAAGGTATAATTAATATTGCTTTTGAAAAAAATGCCTTAAAAACCCACCATTCTTAGATTCCCCAAAGAAAAACATTATATTAATTGAAGTAAACATGAAAGAATATTCATTTATTTTAATAGGCTACTTTATGAATATTTTTGCCTCTAATTCATTGACATGCAGCACTGGCATAACATGCGGGACTGCAATTCTTACTCAATGGACGTTTTTCTTTCATTAGAAATTGGAGAGTACGTTTTGTGCCATCTTTTAGAGTTGATGAGGAAAATAGCATCATGCTAAAATTAAGTATGCTTCTTCGCAAAATACTTTCAGTATTTTTGCATCTTAATCCTAAGAAGAACTGCTTGAACCGTTGAAGTCGAAACCAATCAAGAAATGGATATATAAAGTCTAATATTCATGTTTTTTTTAATATTTATCTCTATAACAAAAAGAAAAAAAAAGGATGATGAACGAATCCAAATAAAATTTGAATTGATATGCAGATTAAAAAAAAATTGAATTGATATGAAACGTGCTGAAATTAGTTGGAGATGGGAATTAATGCGTGCTGCAATTTGGGTGGGCTTTCCCACAAGGGAAAAAGAAAAAAGAAGACAAAAAAATAATTTGTATGGATGATATTAAGTGGTCGCACCACAACCTGGAAATTATTCACTCTTATACACCTAAGCATATAAACCAAAACACTGTAAGAAATAAACTTGAATCAACTGGACTTTACAGGATGCACAGTCCATCGCTCATAAATGATATACGAAAAAAGTATTATAAAGAACAATGTAACATCACAAGATCCCTCTTCCTCTCATTTTTATGACAGTTGTATGAGATATACACTAATCAGCCATAAATGTACATGTGATGCATTTTATTTTCTGGGTCACCTGTTTTGTTCAGGTCCTTTAAAAATTGCATTTTGGTTTAATGCAACATCAATACACACACGCGCACACACACATGTATATATAGGAGCTAGTATATGCGGTAAAAGAAAGGATCAACTAAAAGAATGCAATATCAATCAAGAATATAATATTAGTATCATAAATGTATAAGATAATTATATACTTTTTATAGATTTTTAAGGTGGTGATTGGATTAATGTATTGGAATTTTGATTTTAGATTTCACATTTAGAATCCATGTTTTTACAATTTTTTGTTTGTGTAGCTTAAAAAAGTTCAAATGAAGAAGAGAGATAGAATTGAGATTCAAATGAAAATAAAAAATAAAAAATAATGAGAGTATTTCTATTTTTTATTGACAAGAAATGAGAATGAGAAATGATACGAGTCATAAAGATATCAACAGTGGAAACATAAAAACAATAAGACATTTGAAGTGATGAGAATTTCAGTGATTAGGGCATGGAGATAATTTAAAATTATAAAGGAATTATAATAAAAAATAGATTTTGATTTGGAAAAATTAATCATTTAGTTCTTATAGTTTTAATTCAATTGTAACTCGATCCTTAAACTTTGACTCATTGTAACTCAATTCTTATAGTTTTTGTAATCTCTTTATTCTAGTCACCATTAACTCTAAATCAAGGTAATCAAGGGTCTAAACCCAATAAGGATTATCAAGATTTCACAATTTGCACAAATGGAATCCTAAGATTTCAATATTTAAGAATACTCCTATACATTTTCAATAATTTCAAATCAGAGTTTAAAACGTTTGTGAAAGCATTGGGATAAAAAAAGAATCAAAACATTTGAGTAAAATCTCAAAACTATAAATTGTGCAAAAAATGGCAAATACATTGTGATTAACTGCAGGTGCACCGCGGTTCATTGTATGACTTTGACAGCACTTTATTGTCAAATTAACAGCACAGGGGACAAACTTTTGATTCATCCCAAATCTCCATCTGATATCAAATTAAGGTGATCTTGATGTCTATAAAGAGATTTCTTCTAACTCTAGCTAATGACACAAGTTTCATAACCAAACTCACCTTCTACCAAAAGTTGGACACTTAAAATTAAATTCACTTCTTTTTCACAAATACACACAATTAGGGTGCCCAAACTCTCACACATGTTTCAAAAGCTTGCGCCAACCTATAGACTATATTTAATGGACTATTTTGTACTCATGCAACACACCACAATCATTCAAATATACACATATCATAATTCACCCCTCAAACCCTTAATTCATAAAAACACAAAGGGGAGAAAAACTTTGCATAAATCATCATTATTCATCCCAAAAATTTAAAACACACTTTATCCTACTTATACTAGTACTTTAACCCAATACAAACTTTACAACCATATCGCACTAACTCAGGGTACAAAATACACATGATTTTCATAATGATAATGCAAGTAGTCAAAAATAATGAAATGAATCTTAGTTGGCTAGTTATAACCATCAAAGTACACATCAAAATAAATCTAAGAGGCCTATTAGTAGGATTTACTTAGAATTCTATGCCTCAGATCTTTTTCCCTAATCTTGGTGCTAGGCCTTAAAAATATTAAAAAATGAGAGGTGAACACAACTACTTAATAACCAAAGTCCACCTAGCCTATACAGTTGTATATCAATTAAAATAGATGTAAATGGCAATAAGCATGAATATGATGCACATAAATCAATTATAGCCTCAGACACAACAATAACAACCATATAACTAGGCATATGATACATGTCATCATATATATATATATATCAATTATGCACATCATAGGGTTGTGAAAATAACAATCATACATCCTTAAAACATGTCAAATCACAAGAATAATAACCACGTGGCCGAAACTAAATGATGCATGATATATGCCAACCTTATATCCTTTTATTACCTTTGATATGAAACCAATAGCTATTAAGTGGCTATATCCACAACTCAGACTAACCCAATCTTTTATTTGTGAGGAGCTATCGAACAAAGGTTAACTCACTTATTTGTGCACCTCGGTTTTTCCCAATACTAATAACTATGCAATGTCGTACCCCTAATCTCGCCTCCTTATAAATTAATGGAAACTAGTTAGGTTTAAATCTATCAAAGAATAAGTGTTACAGTCCCGAATCAACTATGGGACAATAGCTACCTTGTGATTCCAACTATAAGCCGCCAATACAATGTGTGTTTAGCAATTTACTCCTTTCCTTAGAAAAACTTCCGCTAATGATCATACTATACGCATATTGACACTTAATATGTAATTT